TTGCAGGGATGGTTTGCCTTACAAAGGGGAAAAGCTGCACTTGCCCGAGACCCTTCGCCTTAACGCCCTCCGTCACGGCCATAAAACAGGCTGGGCACTTTGGATATTTAAAAACACAAGTCGACAAGTTTGGTGGCCGGGGTTGAAATGGGATGTAGAAAACTGTCCGGAGTTGTGCTATATGTGCCACCATGAAAAGAATTCTGGGGAAAACCCCTGGGTTATTACAACCAGTGGCGGACCTTTCCCAACCATGGGAAGAAATTGCTATGGATTTTATAGTAGACCTACCTGAAAGTAGGGGAAATACATTAATCTAGACTGTGATAGGTCTGTTTTCAAAGCAGGCTCACTTTATTGCCTGCAAAGGGCTCCCGTCTGCCCAACGACTAATCAAGATGTTCCTGAAACACATCTACTGACTGCATGGCGCACCAAAACGAATAATCTCTGACGGGGGTGCAGTTTACAGCTAGGTTTTGGAGGAGTTTTGTTAAACTAATTGGCTCATCTCAAGGACTATCATTGGCCTTTCACCTGTCTATCAATGGGGCGGCTGAATCTGCGAACTCAATGGTGGAACAGATCTCTGATGCTATGTGGATTATCAACAAATGAACTGGACTGACCTTCTCCCTTTCGCAGAGGTGGCTTACAATAACTCTGTTCACAGCAGCACTGGCTTCATGCTTTTTAAAGTGGCCACAGGAAAAGAGTTCAGCCCAATACCCGAATATCCTCAAGGACCCTTCGCTTCCCAAACTCTTGATCAATGGGTGAGGGGGTGGGAAGAAGTCTGGAAAACCACAAAAACTACTTTGAAAAAGGCTTCTGAGACATACAAAAAACAGGCAGATAAAAAAGGACTCCTCAGAGGACATTCCAAGTTGGGGAAAAGGTTTATCTGTCCACCAAATATTTACGGCTTAAGTTACCTAGTAAGAAGTTAGGGCTGAATTACTTAGGACCCTTCCCCATTGTAAGGATCATTAACCCGGTCTCGGTAGAACTAAAACTTCCCAGGCTCTTAGGGAAAGTTCACCCTGTTTTCCATTGTAGCCTGTTGAAACCTTTTTGGGATTCCACCTTAAGACCTCCCCCTAAGAAGGCACCTGGACCTCTCATAGTGGCAGGATAGATTCACTACGAAGTAAAGCGCATTCTTGATTCAAGAATTTTTAAAGGGAAATTGCAGTACTTAGTGCAATGGAAGGGATATCCATTGTTTGAGGCCACCTGGGTGAAATCTAAGCAAGGTAAAAGCTGACAGACTCATTAATAGGTTCTATAAGAAACACCCTAACAAACCAAGAAGCAACCACTAACCTGTGCTTTTGATTGCATTACAGGATTTGTCCTTTTTGTAAGGGGGGCATGATGTCAATGCTGCTAACATCAGATGTTCTTCCTTTGACAATAGATGGAAATGCAACCATTTTTCTCTATTGCTTTTAGAGTTAGTTGATGCTGGGAGGGGGAATGTGGATGAGAGTCCAGCTAGTCATAAGAATAATAACTCAGCCATGGGAACCCAAGGTCATTGGGCCCAGAGTTGATAGAGTTTTGGCGGGCTGGAGAGCTGGGGAAAAAGCCCGCACTTCAAGCTAATTGGGGAATGTGATCTATAACTGTTTATTGGAGGAGGGAATTGTGCTTTGTTACTTTGTATCCAGGAGAGGGGAATTTAGTTTTTGGTTTCCACTATGTAGTGCCGATACTTTGTTTCTCGAATAAAAGATTCTTTAAGATAAACAATGCCTCGAAGTTCTTTTGAAGAGTTTCATCTGTCGGAATCATGACACTTATATTTATAATTATTTCAGATTCCTAAAGTTAAATTAGAATAAAATCAGTGCATTTTATTTATATACTAGATATCCTACTTTTCATATTGGAGAGATATCCTACTTTTCATATGTCATCCAGTGAACTTCTATGACTGAGGTAGACAAGAATGTGGGCATTTCTGGTGTCAGTCCAACCCTTAATCACTATCACACCACATCTATAGAAATTATTTTTTCAGATTTCTTTTTCTCCTCGGCACTAATTTCCCTGTTTTCACTAATAGCAAATATTTAAAAGAAATTTTGCAAATAAATAAATAAATATGCATAGTTCTCACAGAAAATATTTCTGAATTGTGAAGAATCTATATGAATCCCAAGTTTAAATGAGTTTCAATTAATTTTTATCATGTTAATGTGATTCAGTAATGCACTTGACTGAACTTCAGTTATGATTATAATGAAGAAAAAAATAGTAGCATTTGTCTTGAAAGAAATTACATAAATATTTGACATTGATATAGTACAGAATTGCATCATGCATCAATATTTGATTGATGGAGAGGGAATACAATATATAATTAAGAGTTAACATAATGTTAATAAAGAAAAATAACATGTGAAGTATGTTCCAAATTAGATAAGAATGTTGTAAAAGGAATACATAGATGGAACCAAAATCCTTTCAGTGGGAATTGCATATTATTTCTTGGTTCCTATCACTAAGCACTGTTTTGTGTGTGTTGAAAAATTGTGGAAAAGCTAGTCTGATGTACTGTAGTAGTTAAAGCATCAGGATAGAAACTTGGAGACTGTGAGTTCTAGTGCTGCGTGAGTCTTTCCCACTAAATGTCTAGTTTACAAAAATAAAAGAGAAACTTCTGTATGTGTTCTAGTCAGTCTCACATATAAAAAATTGAAAAGTTGGCAAGTTGCAGTTTAGAACGTCATCCTTGAAATATTCTCTTGTTCTAGGAGATCAGTAACAAACTGACTTAGTATTGTATATTCTCCTGCTGATTATTTCCTTGATTCTATTATAATTGTAGATATTTGTTCTTTTGGGTCAGGATTGTTTGTTTTCCTATATGATACATAAAAGGACAATAAAAGAGATAGCTGGTAGATCAGACATGTCAAACTCGCGACATCACGTGACTCGCGAGACGTATCGGGACTATTTTGCCATTGTCGGCAATGGGGGGGCCACGGCTCCGGTATGATGAAACTGGCCTGTAGGCCGGTAGTTTGACACCCCTGCAGTAGATGATAGACATAGATCACATTGGAAGATGATCCAGCTGAATTATTTGTTGCACTTGTGGTTGATATTATTGTCATTATTTTAGAGACAGACTTGGGAGATGGATTTGTTGTTGGTTCTAATTCCTGTGTTTGTGTTTATATAGCCTATAGGTGCTGATGTATGGTAGGTTTTCTGTAAGCAGCATGATAAAGTTGTTTAAATGTCTAGGATGGGCTATAGCAGTGATGGCGAACCTTTTAGAGACCGAGTGCCCAAAAACTGGCCCTGCCCCCGCTCCACCCCCTGCCCCACCCCCACCCTGCCTGCCCGCAGGACCACTCACTGCCTCCAGGGCCCGCCGCAGATCACCCAGGCAGCCCAGCAGCGCCATGGTGGCCACACCCTCTTCCTGCGCCCTACAGCATCAACTGTGCATGATGGGACGTGAAGGCAGAATCTTGTCTACGCTGCCTGGCTGCCATGTCCTTGGCTGTGCTGCTTCGCGTGGGCCATGCTCGGGGAAATTCTCCTCCAAGGGGCTGCTGATGAGGGGGTTGCAGGGGGAGGCGAGGCTGGGGCAACGGCACGTGTGCCCACAGAGAGGGCTCTGAGTGCCGCCTCTGGCATGCGTGCCGTAGGTTCGGCACCACTGGGCTATAGTGATATACAAGAAGGGAAAGGTTCTTCTTGGAATAACAGTAGATCAACTTTGCTATCCTTCTAGAAAGTAAATAGTATTTTCATAATATGACATTGACATGAAACAAATTTAATTAAGATTACACTTTATATGATTCTTGTGTCATATTGTCAGCCCTTCAAGTTACACCGTCAGAAAACAGACTCCACAAGAGTGCTGGAATTCTGCTTTAGTATATAGATATGTACTTGATGGTGAGCTTTTCAATTGCTACCCCCCCTTTTGGGGAATATTATTAACCCTGAGATCCAGACGGTCCATAATCTGTTGGGTTTCACAAATGCTAGCAAAACCTGGCCTTTTCAGCAGGCTTTGAAAGGTGGAAAGTTGTGATATGTTTAATTAATGTAGAATGTTATTTATCTCTGGCATTGTACTTTCTATTAGTAAAGTACAAAAAATATATTATTCTATTTATTGTATTTGTAAAACACACAGTTATTTGTATTTTAGACTTGTAATTTTTAATATTATGTACATAAATAGATATGAAAGCTGTTCTGAATCAGTTCCGATAACAGTGATCTGAAAATCAATTGATCATTCATATTACTTTCAATCTTTTTCACTTGGTGATAGTTTTAGGGAAAATACCAATATTCAGGGATGGACAGCTGATATAAGCAGCTCTAGCATCATTGAGCAACAGTAAGCCCTGTTTATATGAACTTATTTAGTTGTTTCTTTAAAGCATTTAAATGGCTGCACATCTTAAACTCTGGGTGGCTAAAACCCCCAAAATAAAAACAATATATGTCAGCAATGAAATAAAACATTAGAACAAAGATGTCTTAATATCACAATTAAACATTCCCATGCAGCCTACAATAAGTTTGCGCATGTGACAGCAAAATGCTGTAATCATTATAAATGCAAGCCAGTTGCCAAGTGCCTGAATTACAATCACATGACTGTGTGACTGCTGCAACAGTTGTAATTTCAAGGATGGGTCATAAGTTACTTTTTTCAGCACTGTCACAACTTAGAACTGTCACTAAAAGAATGGTCATAAGTCCAGGACTACCTGAATGCATATATGTGAAAAAGCATTAATATTTTGTTGATGAGCTAAGTAAAACTAGTTTGATCATGAAGGTTTCTTTAATCAACTCTACTTCTAAAAAAACTTTTTTTTCAGTGAATGAATTCTATGACCTCACATTTTTGAGATTGGTTAAAATTATGTTTTATTAAAAACAATTGTTAATTTTCTGTGTCTTAGCACTCATTTCTCTCCCCTTTTTTTCTCCTCCCCCCCTCCCCCCAGACCTGTGTGTGGAATCAGAGGGAAAACTCTCATAATTAACCTTCCAGGTAGCAAGAAAGGATCACAGGTAAGCAGTGTTTTTCATGAGGAACTAAAGATCTTTTGATGATTACAAAATTTTCTTCCATAAATAGTAAATATAATTTAATATAGTGTAATTAGCAGGAAAGATGAGAATTATTTTAATAAATACCATTCATTCAGGAGGTGAAGGCATTCCTCCCATCCATTTTTCTCCACTATAACTCTGTGAAATAGTTGAGCTAAGAAAAAAATGACTGGCTCAAAGGCTAGGGAGCTTTTATTGCTGAGGATGAACTAGAACCTGAATCTTCCCAATAGTAGTCTAGCACAGGGCTTTTCAACCAGTGGTACGCATACCACTTGTGGTACATTAATGAGTGGCAGGTGGTATGCAGTCCTGCCTAGCCAAGTGTAGTGGGGGAGGGAAAGAGCCAGCACAGGCAAGGACTTGCAGTGAGAGAGTCCTCTGGAGCTGCAAAGGCCCCAGGCTCACTTCTGGCTCACCCTTCCCCATAAGAAAGGAGGAAGGGGGACGGAGACAGGAGAGCCTATAAAACAGTGGTTCTCAACCTTTTTAATGCCGCGACCCCCAACCGGTCGTAAGTCGAGGACTAAACCGGTTGTAAGTCGAGGACTACCCAACCGGTCGTAAGTCAAGGACTTTCCCTGCCCGGGAGCGCCGTGCATGCATGGTTCCGCCCCCTGCGCCGGCCGAGGCGTAGCTGGCAAGTGGCAGAGACGGAGCAGGCCGACCACCAGCTGGCCCAGCTCAAGGGAGGTAAGGCACCCACCGGAAAAGGGGAAAAAAATGGCGGACAGCCTTGCTTGGCGACCCCCGTGAAATGGTCGATCGACCCCAAATGGGGTCGCGACCCATAGGTTGAGAACTGCTGCTATAAAAGGAGGCAGTTTGGGTAGGTGAGGGAGAGAGAAAAAAAGCAGCAGCCTTGGGAGGAGGCAGAGTCAGCTGCACCGAAGGGGAGGGGGAGGGGAGGGGGAGGGGAGGGGAGATCAAGCAGGCTGGCCATGAGCCGATCTACAACTGCTGTGGCAGCCACCTGTGCTGGCAGCAGCAAACAGGCAAGAAATGCAGTGGGGGAGGGGTCACCCTCCAAGAGGAATGAAAAAAGGCAGCAATGGCTCGAGGTGAGGCATGGAGGAGGGAAGGAGATGGAGAGTGGAAGGATTCTTATATGCTTTTGTGACTTTGAAGTTCTGGGATTTGTGCAATGAGGGCTTTGTGTTCTTAAGGAGTGTTTGGCAATTTCTATTTGGCTGATGGTTGATGTCTCGTGTTAGCTTCTATTGCTCTGCTGTTGTTAGCTGTAAGTTTTGCTGCAAGGAATTTTGAAGTATTTTTCTCCTGAATGGATTTTGCCTGTAGCATTCCTTTACTTATGAATGGAGCAATTTGGGGAGGTTGCCTTAGCCGGCAGCCAATACTTACATTTTTTTTCCTCCTTAAGTGCCGGCTGCGCTCCTTACTTTCCTTTCTAGCCAGTAGCTAATTCTTAAAGGGGAATGTGCCTTTTTAAGCTAGTTCACTGAGCAGCTTGTCTTTTCTGTCTCTGGAGGCCTTTCCTTGTTTGATCAATATATGGAAGAGGGAAAATATGGGGTGGGGTTCAAATTCTTCCTTCAGAAGGAGATGGGAATGAGAAAAAGGGAGGCAGGGAAGGGAGGGAGGAAAGGAAGTCCCGCCTTAGCACTTGGCCACCAGCAGCTCTGCCATTGACTTTGCTTGTCAAAAGGTTGCAGAAGGGGATCACATGACCCTGGAACACTGTGACCATTATAAATATGAATCAGTTGCCAAGTATCCAAATATAAATCACATGACCCTAGGCATGCTGCAATGGTCATAAGTGTGAAATATGGTCATAAGTCATTTCAGTGCAATTGCAATTTTGAACAGGTTTTTTTTGGGGGGTCATCAAGTTTTTGACACCTTGCTAGGTGGTACTCGAATATTGCCATATCCTAAAAGTGGTACAATCGGTAAAAAGGTTGAAAAGCCCTGTATTAGAGAGTATGACATCTGAATGCAACTCTTGCAATACAAATATTTTTAGAATTAAAGATTTTGTAGAATAATTTTCTATAATCTATCTTCTTCATACCTGGGTATTCTAACAAAATGAATAAGCAATGAATAAGTACATATTGAACTATCAAACAATAATAATACTTAGCATGGGAGCCCGCTTCCACTATGATTACGTCGGCTGCCGACGAAAGCTAAGTTTATCAAACAGTTGTTAGTTTATTAAACAGTTGTTTTTATATTTATCCCGGTGTTCAACTATTTTTCTCAACATATATATATAGTGTATTGTGTGTGTGTGTGTGTGTGTATCTGTCATGTATGTATATCTGTATGTATGTATATCTGTCTGTCATGAAAGTCATTGTAAATATTTTAAATAATATAGTAGGATTTTCTGTTTTAAAAGCTGTGAGTATTTATAAGATTACACTGTGGCATAAAGTTTCTAACAATGTAAATATTTTTATAATATTTTTAGAAGACAAAAGTTAAAGTTTATTCCCCATATCCAGGATAAAATTGGAGGGGGAAGGTAGGATGATACAAAATAGATGACACAATAGCATGTATATAGGTGGGGCTAGAATATTTTGTTTGATCTGAGGAAGTTATAGACATTCTTAGATATTGTGAGTTAACAAGCCAAAGTGAGATTTGAAGCAATTTTGTTTTACTCTTAGAAGCCCTAACAATTTGTTGTCAATATTTGGTGAACACTTTTTATTTAAATATGCTAGTGTATCTAAGTGAAATGTGTTAAAATTGTAGATTTTTTTCAAACAAAACTTCCCTCATACGAGGTAGAGGTATTCTAACATTTAATTTATCTTTATTTGTATAGAATGTATATGTAATTTTCAAATTTAGAAATAATAATGATGATGGTGATGATAGTGATGATGATAATTAAGTTGGAAGGGACCTTGGAGGTCATCTAGTCCAACCCCTGCTCAGGCAGGAAACCCTATACTGTTTCAGACAAATGGCTGTCCAATCTCTTCTTAAAAACTTCCAGTGTTGGAGCATTCAGAACTTCTGGAGGCAGGTTGTTCCACTGATTAATTGTTCTAACTGTCAGGAAGTTTCTCCTTAGTTCTAGGTTGCTTCTCTCTTTGGTCAGTTTCCATCCGTTGCTTCTTGTCCTGCCTTCAGGTGCTTTGGAGAATAGCTTGACTCCCTCTTCTTTGTGGCAGCCCTTGAGATATTGGAACACTGCTATCATGTCATCCCTCGTCCTTCATTAAACTAGACATACCCAATTCCAGCAACCATTTCTTATATGCTTTAGCCTCCAGTCCCCTAATCATCTTTGCTGCTGTTCTTTGTATTCTTTCTAGAGTCTCAACATCTTTTTTACATCGTGGTGACCAAAACTGGATGCAGTATTCCAAGTGTGGCCTTACCAAGACATTGTAAAGTGGTATTAACACTTCATGTGATCTTGATTCTATCCCTCTGTTAATGCAGCCTACCACTGTGTTGGCTTTTTTGGCAGCTGCAGCACACTGCTGGCTCATATTTAAGTGATTGTCCACTAGGACTCTGAGATCCCTTTCACAGTTACTACTATTGAGCAAGGAATCACCTATACTATAGCTGTGCATTTGGTTTTTCTTGCCTAAATGTAGAACCTTACTTTTTTCACCATTGAATTTTATTTTGTTAGATAGCGCCCAGTGTTCAAGTCTGTCAAGATTCTTCTGTATCCTAAGCCTGTCTTCTGGAGTGTTGGCTATTCCTGCCAGCTTGGTGTTGTCTGCAAATTTTATGAGTTCCCCATCTATCCCCTCATCCAGATCATTGATGAAGATGTTGAAGAGCACTGGGCCCAGAACAGAGCCCTGGGGCACCCCACTACATACTTCCCTCCATGTAGATGCAGTTCCATTGAGGACCACAAGTTGAGTACGGCTGGTCAGCCAGCTACAAGTCCATCTGGTGGTGATGCTGTCTAACCCACATTTTTCTATCTTATCAAGTAGTAGGTTGTGATCTACTTTATCAAATGCCTTATTGAAGTCCAAGTAACTTATATCCACAGCATTCCTCTGGTCCGCTAATTTTGTCACTTGGTCAAAGAATGCAATAAGATTTGTCTGGCATGATCTGTTTTTGACAAACCCATGTTGGCTTTTGGTAATGACTTTGTTTGCTTCTAGGTGTTCACTAATTCGTTGTTTGATTATCTTTTCCAGAATCTTCCCAGGTATTGAGGTCAGGCTGATAGGTTTGTAGTTTCCTGGATCCATTTTTTTCCTTTTTTGAAGATGGGAACTACGTCAGCTCTTTTCCAGTCCTCTGGTAGTTTCCCAGTGCTCCAGGATCTTTGAAAAATATAGTTCAGTGGTTCTGAGATCACATCTGCTAGTTCCTTGAGAACCTTGGGGTGTAATCCATCTGGTCCTGTGATTTGAACTCGTCTAGGCTGGACAGGTGCTCACTTACCATTTTCTTGCCTATCTTAACTTGTGTTTCCAATCCATTTTTTACGGTACTGTTTTTGATAGGTTGGACTGTTTTTTCCCTTTGTGTAAAGACGGATGCAAAAAATGAGTTAAATAGTTCTGCTTTCTCCCTGTTGCTTGTCACCTTCTTGCCACTTTCTCCCACTAATGGACCAATCATTTCCTTGACTTTTTTCTTGTTTTTTACATGTTGAAAGAAACTTTTTTTGTTATTTTTGACTTTTGTTGCAAGCCTTAGTTCATTTTGAGCCTTAGTTTTCCTCACTTCATTTTTGCAGGCTCGGGCTATTTGCTGATATTCTGCCTTAGTTATGTGCATCTCTTTCCACTTGTTATACTTGTTATATATTTGCTTATATACTTGATAACTTGATTTTGGATTGTGTCAACTTCATGGATGACTGGTGATTATTAAAAGAATTTGTTCTGTGAAATGGAATCTGTACATTAGCAAACAGTTGCAAAGGTTTCCACATTTCTTTCCTTAGCTCAGATAGTGCTCTGTATGATTATTTCATGATCTTCATCAAACCACAGGAAAGCAAATCCCATAATTCTGTTTTTCTTTGATATGATACAATAGTTATCACTTTAGTTTCTTTGTCTTTATATATTCTAATTCTTTACTTATAGTATAAATTATAATTGTTAATAAGCAGAGTTCACAGTTTGATTTTTTTATCATTCTTTTTGAAATATAATATTTTAGACTTTTAGAATTTTATGTCAGTAAAGAGCACAAAAAACACTGTTCAAGGGATTTTTTCCTGAAGCTGCTTCTCCCTCCTTCCCTTTCTTCATACATCCTTTTATTAACTTGAAATCACAGGTATAAGATAAAGAAATCATAGATAATTGAACAGACAACCTATCAACAGCTATCAGGCAGAATGCTGGATTAATTACATTTTTGTGAGATCACAAAAAGTGCTTAATTTTCATTCTTTTCCCCCCCACATATATTAAAAAGGAAGAAAATGAATAAAGGTAGTTTCTGCAGGTCTTTCTAGCCTGCTCCCTCCAACCATTTAATTTAAGGGTGTAAACCAAATTTCCTTTATTAATACAGAGTAAACTGATTTTTTTTTGAAGCAAATATAGAGGGCAGGTTGCAATATGCCTCTGAAAAATAAATAGCATTATGAGGGCAGACAGGTCAAGTACAATAAATAATAGAGAAAATGTTAAATAGAAGAAAGAAATGGTGTGGTATGGCATATGTGGTGTGGCATGGTGTAGTGTGTGGTGTGGCGTGGTGTGATATACTATAGTATGGTATGATATGGCTACCATGGTGTAGTGGTTAATGACTTGGCTTAGAAACAAGGAAACTATATTCTAGGCCTTCCTAAGGCATTAAAGCCAGCTGGGTAACTTTCTCGCTTTCTTGCAGACCAACCCACCTCATAGGGTTGTTGTTGTGGAGAAAAATAAAAGGTAGTAATATTTGGTATATTCACCACCAAGGGAGGGAGGGAGGGAGGAAGGAAGGAAATGTTCCTTTGCCCCTTAAGTCAGTTTAAACTAATTTGTTTAATATGTTGTCTGTCAATAAATATTAAATTTTAAAAGCAAGTAATAGAAATATTGTTCAAAGGTCTACCCTGGCCTGTATAAATCTATGCTCAGTAAAGTTTGGCAGTCATATTTTAGGATTTCACTGGGAGATAATTTCAACTCTCTTGAATTGCTAACAATAGTACATCTTTATCTAGATTTTTGTTGGCAACTTTCTGCAATAATTTCAGACATTCCAAGTGTTTAACACATGGAATGTTGAAACCAAGAAATTCTAATAACCGACTTTGTCAAAAGATTTATTCACTACAACATCAAAAGGAACCCAGGAGGAAAAATGGTTCAGGGATCAGAAAATTAAGATGTTAGATTATTATCTTTCCTAACATGGATACTAAAAGTACTAAGAACTAATATTTTTTAAAAAAATGAACTACAAAGAAAAATAATTTACATTAATTAATATTATTTAAATAATACATTAGATATTATCTAACTTGTTGCAACATTTACTTCATCTAAAACATGTTAATTACTATTTTGCAAACCATATAAAATATGCTAGAAGAGGAAGAAAAGAAATCCTAGATATTGTGAAGTTTAAAAAAGAACAATATTCTGGTAAATTCAAAATTTTCCATTAAGGGTACAAAAACACATCAAAAGTATACTAATTTAGAAGTTTATTCAGTTTTAATATTATAACTGCTAAACATATACTATATTTTCTAGGTAAGTTTTCACGGTCATTTTTCTCATTATGCGCAGGAATGCTTTCAATTTATACTACCAGCCCTACCTCATGCCATTGATCTTTTACGGGACGCCATTGTAAAAGTAAAAGAGGTTCATGATGAACTTGAAGATCTACCTTCACCACCACCACCTCTTTCTCCTCCTCCAACCATCAGCCCTCACAAGCAGACAGAAGACAAAGGTGTACAGTGTGAGGAAGAGGAGGAAGAGAAAAAAGATAGTGGTGTTGCTTCAACAGAGGATAGTTCCTCCTCGCATATAACTGCTGCAGCCATTGCAGCAAAGGTGAGTTGAGGTTCTGTAAAAAGGAGCACATAAGTTTCTATCTCAGGTATTTTCTGTATATAGAAAGAGATCAATCAGGAGTGAAGCTGATTATTTTTTCACTCTATAGCTACAACCATAAAATTTCTAGATGATTAGTCATATTTTTTCTGTATATATTATGCTTTCTTCACCTTTTTTACATGAATTATAAACATAATTATGCATCTGTCAAAAAGGGAAATAAGATTCCCAGTTGCTGTTAGTTATTTTTCTATTTGAAACATTTATGCCACATTGAATGGCATTTCCATGTTCCCATAGTCATACAGTGTGGCATTTCAGTAGGTTCAGAGGATTGCAAGAAAGAAGAAAGTGGAGAGAACATGCTCTACAGTAGGTACATAAAAAACTGTTATGAGTGATGTCATTGTCTTAAGTTCAAGCACCAATTATGTGGAAGTGCTAATTCATTTATCATCATTTTCTGGAAGTAGTGCAGTAGAAATCTTGTAGAGCACCAAGTCCTCAAGTTAATTATCTACTTACTGAACAACTGCTGCTGCTTTTGCAAATTTTTCAATAAATTTTGAGAGCACTGCTCAAACTTCATAATGGCAAGCTTCAATTAAAAATATTAAATTTTGTATATATTTTTGGGAAATCTGTCCCAGATAAGTTTAAAATGATTTATTTTATTTATAATTGTAGAATAGTTGTTTGGGCCATGATGTCTGTTACACCTCACTTTATAAAGTCAATGCTGAAACCCTTATGTCCAGTTTAAATTATTTAGTCAAATGTTAATATAATGAAACCAATCAATTGACAACAGCAGAAGCTGAATATTTATTTATAGTTCTTAAAAGTATTTGAGATTATGCTCTCCCCAGGCTAATTCCAGTGTTCTAGACAGCTCTTTTACACTTTCAGGCAAGGAAAATTCATGTATGCTTTTTTTTAGAATAGCAAACATACCTCCTATTAAAATGCTACAGGTAAGTGATTGAAACATTTCAGCTTATTCCTGGGCATTGCACAGAACTCTGAAAATTCCTTGTGAACCTGTATTAGTTTCCATTTTGTATATTTATATGTAATAATTTCCCATTAAGAGCTATAGATATTATGCTGGTGGAGGGGGAGGTATTCCCACATTTATTCCACAACTATCTTGTAAAGTAGCTTGATCTAAGAAATTGACTGGCCTCTGCCAAAATTCACCCAGTGAGCTCCTTGCTTGGATGTGGATTTAACTGTGGGTCCCTCTAGTTGAGGCTTTTTATTCAAAGGAATGTCACAAAGAAATCAGCATTTATCTTTACAGGATTTATCTGATAGGAAAAAAAGCTGATTGGGATCAGGAGGTACACATGTGTACTTTCTTTCCTTAATATCTGAGGTGAATTAATTAATAGAATGAGAATCTAATTAAAAGCAGAAAATGCCTGAGAACTAAACTGTGCTCATGTAAATATGTTGCATTTAGTTGTGCCACCTGTTTTCACCGTCTACGCCATTTTGTTTATTTAGCTTCTTATTTTCCTGCCATTGCATTCATGGTTATTATGTATTGTACATTAGAAGCATCCATCCTATACCAGTTCTGCTGTTATCATGGCAAAAGGTGAACATCCCATTCCTGGTCTCATCTGTTATCCCTCTCACGCACCAGACAGTGCAGGAGAACCGGTAAGACACACCTACCAGAATATTTTGCACAAATATCTTCAGTCAGACTGCTTGCCTTCTCATTGTTACAAGGAGCTATTGCTATTTTCTTTATTTCCAGTGACATACTGTGTTGCTCTCTGAGCAAACAATTTTTAAATTTCCATTCTGTCAATTTTTATGACATATATAATATTTAACATTTATTTTAGCTGTGAAGTATTAATTTTAAATTTTATTGCTCTCTGATTGAAGACTTGTTTTGGTTTAGATTCATTTATCTCTGGAGACTGCTCAGAAATTTTAGACATATTTCTATTACCATAAAACTAAAATATTCTTCTGTACTTCAAAGGAGCTACAGTGCATGCATTTTCAAATTACTTGGCTTTGGATAATATGCAGATATTTCTGGTAGATGCTTTTACTGATTATCCAATGCTGATTTTTTTTTAACCACTTGCTCATCATATTCCAGTACTCTTTTTTTAAAAAAAAAAACTTTATTTCACTCACAAGATGGAAACTACAGAGATAATATCTAAGTTGCCTTGCACATGTTTGTCATTGCCCCCTTCTAAATTGGTCAGTTATCAAATCTTCTGTTGCATTATAATTAGAATCTGAATGAAAACCTCTTTCTAATTCTGAAAACAATATTTGCCAGCATTAGAAAGCTGTGATTATGAGCATCAGTAAAATATCCTTAACTAAATAAAATTACCATGAGTAAGCTTGCTTCTCTATTTTTTTTTCCTATAAGCAGCTAGAATATTCATGTCTGCACTACTGTTGTTATAGATAGACAGAAGAAGAGCCATGCTGGGATGGGTGTATATATGTTCTTTTCACCTTCCCTTTTTTACAATTCAGAAAGAAGGCCCTTTCCCAGTTCCTTGCCAAATATAGGTGGATAAAGCAGAGAAATATTGTTGGAAGGGGTCTCTCCATTTCCTTGTATTGGGGGAATGATAATTGAAACACAATTCCCTCACAAGGAATAGACAGTTAGACTTTCCTTGTACATCCATACGAATAAAATTATCTGGAATAATTCCCATTATAACAAAATATATAATATGTTCATCTTTTATATGAATGCTAATTCAGCAAACAAAGTGAGTATAGCCCCACTTGAACCTCTTTCATTTCTCTTGTAAAATATAGGTTAAAATAATTCCTTTTACCTTTTAAAAACTTGTTGTTCCACTCCTATTATAGCTGATCAATTCGTCACTATCCTAAAAATCCGTGAACATAGCCATGTGTAATGAATTAATTTTGTTGGTTAAGAAATTGTGAACTACAAGCAATAAAAAAAGAGCACATAGTATGGTTTTTCCTCTTCCTTTAGCCTATGTCTCATCTCCCCTACTCTTTTTCTTCTGCCTGGTTTTCACCTCCTATCTTTGAATCCTTCTCTTGCTCCCGTCAATTTAGCAAATATCTCAAGATCTCTTCCTCCTGCAATTTTCTTGGATTGTTGTATTATCTTTTGCACATTTATTTCCTCCTGTCTATCCCCTTATTTTCATTCCCTTCTCCATGCATCCTAGCTTTCATTGAACTTTGGCATGGCAGAAGGAAACATCCAGATTGAACACTGAAGAGCTGTGTTTCTTACAAATACAGTTGAAATGCATTAAGCCTATTGCCTTTTCAATCCTTGCTCAGGTTGAATTGGAAAGGTAAAAGGGATTTTTTTTCCTCATAACATATCTGTGATAGTTTAGAAGAAGGATATTTGTATAGGTTTATTTAATTTCACTTCTAGGCTTTATGCTTAAAGGAAAGCTTGCTTGCTTCCATTCCAAATTTTAGCCATAAATACTCATTTTTTTCTCAGCCTCAGAACTATAATAGAATTGCACTTAAATAAAATTAGACTATTTTCCTATTTTCTTACATCAAGAAACATTTGTGAAAGACTTTTTTAAAAGTGATTTCTGAAATAAATATAAAACCAAATTATGCTTAATTGTATATTCTTGATAGAGCTACATTTTCTCTGTAAATGTAATTTACGTCTTAAATCTCATCAAAAGGGCACAGCTCTTTCAGAATTAAATATTAGAATTGGGCATGCTTCAGATATTATTCAAAAAATGCTTTAAGAATGCATGGGAACATAAATCCAGCTTTACTTAAAGCAATTGTATCTATCTGCAAGCTTCCAAGATAGCCTAAAAAAGATATGGATGCTTTAAGTAAATTACTCATCAATGCTGATTTTTTTAATGTGACTTCTTAAAACATTAAAGAAGCAATTTTTATTTACATTAAAAGTTTCTGTAATGGTATGTGGGTATGACCTTGGAAGATGGAGGAAGAGATGCTGCCTAGGGAATGATCAGATAACAGAAGGCATAGCCTGCAGCTGCATAATGGACCGAGGAAGCAACTCAGAAAGGAACTTCCCTAACTTCTCAGACTATAAAAGAAACTATGGGAGATTTGTAGTATCAGACTTGCAAGTTTCTGTTAATTTACAATAAAGTAGAATTAGCTCATCTACTTAGGTTTCCTGCCTGAAGGCTGATAATTTCTAACATGAAAAAGTACAAATGGAAATCTTCCTGCTTTTAAAGAAACAAATTTAGACTTCAGTTTCAGTTTCAGTTTATTGTATTTATATCCCGCCCTTCTCCTGGTGGACTCAGGGTGGCTTACAGCCAGTTAAAAAACAGAGCAATTGATACAAATATACAAAATTTAAAATAAATTAAAAGATATATTTAAATAGGCCTTTTCTTATTTTAAAAGTTGATTAAAATCCAATTTAAAATATCCCTAGGCCAGTCCTGCCAGCTGAAACAGCCATGTCTTGAGGGCGCGGCGGAAGGAGGGNGGGAGCTCCAACAGAGAAGGCTCTCCCCCTGGGGGTCGCCAACCGGCACTGTCTGGTTGATGGCACCCTGAGGAGACCCTCTCTGTGGGAGCGTATCGGCCGGTGAGAGGTGATCTGTGGCAGAAGGCGGTCTCGGAGGTAGCCAGGTCCGATGCCATGGTGCGCTTTAAAGATGATAATCAACACCTTGAAGCGCACCTGGAAGGCCACAGGCAGCCAGTGCAGCTCGCACAGCAGCGGCGTTACATGGGAGCGACGAGTCACTCCCATCACCGCCCGCGCAGCTGCATTCTGGACTAACTGGAGCCTCCGAGTGCTCCTCAAGGGGAGCCCCATGTAGAGAGCATTACAGTAGTCCAGGCGGGAGGTGACAAGAGCATGGGTAACTGTGCGCAAGGCATCCCGGTCCAGAAAAGGCCGCAACTGGTATACCAGGCGTACCCGGTAAAACGCCCCCCTGGCCACAGCCGTCAACTGGTCTTCCAGTGTCAGCCGTGGATCC